GGTGCCTGGCAGTGGCTGGCTAGCATGCAACCCCTAATCCAAGTCCCATAATGTGTCCTATGATACATGAATCTTACGTGTGCCACGTCTCGAGAGCGGCTCGCCACTAGCCTCAAGCTCGCGTAGCAATCGAAGGGTACTACTCACGCCTGACAGTGACACCAGCCCAGACGATACTTCTCCCTCCCAGCACCGCCGCACCCGTTTTGCACGATCCCCCACGCCAACGAGTTGCCATTTGTTGTGATCCTGAGTATTGGGCACGCTGGGAAGCGGTCTACGATATGTCTAAGCCAGGCCAGAGAGTCCTTCGTCGTGGATTATTGCGTATAATGTGCACAAGTTCTCAGGCAGCGTAATGAGAGAGCAGCAGATCATAACAAGATAAGGACTGAGTATACTGAGGATGGACCTGGAAAGACTCGGGAGATGGTACCAAGTACTAGGAGGGAGCAGCGCCAAGCTCCAGGTACAGTGTACACGACGTTGACGCGACGCGTGGGTAACGCGTGGCTGCTACTACCATATCGACCAAGTTGAACCAACCGGACCTGGTAGTACGCTAGGCTTCTCTCCCCCACCATCAGCAGGCCCGTTCTGGTCCATTCGTCTGTCTACGGGAGAGTACAGTAGACTCACCAATTCCTTTGAACACTGCACTCCTCTGTCCGCGGTACATAGTGCGCCCAGTCGCGAGAGATATCAAGATGTCGGTGCAATCACGAGTATGTCTTCAACTATTGGATCTGTGAGATGCACACAGTCGAGCATAAGGCCTGAGGCGCGAGGTCTGAGCAGATGACCTTGTTCGCGATCGACGAGCATCGCCGGCATACACTCAATCAGGATTGAATGAAGGACTAACCATTCCCCTACAGTCCCTCTTTTCCGAACGGATCCTCCACATCGAGCTCGTCTACGAGCCCATCTTCTCCACGCTCTCACCGGCCAACCTGGTGCGCATCTCCAGCACTTGCCGCACAGCCTACGCCGCGGTCGCAGCCTATACACGGCTCACATTCGATATCGACCGCCTCCTCTCGCGCTACTTTCCCTCGCCGACCCGCGGTTGCTCCATCACCTGCTGCCTCTCTCATGCACACGAGCAAGAGTACGGCCGCGCCCGCGCGTTCCGCTCGCTCCAGGCGCGTACGGGCACGCTCGTGTCTGGCTCCACCGCCCTGCAGTTCTTCAAGCGGACGGTATGGCCCGAGAGCGATCTCGACCTGTACGTGCACATGCGCCACCGCCGGGAGGTTGCGCAGTGGTTGCTCGACGAAGGGTACCAGTACAAGCCGACCGACTTCAGGATCCAAAATTCGAGGTCGAGATCGCACAGTGCGTCAACAGGAACCCGAACGGAATATACTCCATGCCGGGCGTGATGGCCATCGTCACGTTTATCAAACCCCTTCCGAGGCCTGATCGCACTAGCAACTCCGTAGACGGGGAGGAAGAGGCTGACGACGACGGTCCTAGCGAGCTTAAAGTCCAGGTCATCGTCGCGAAGAACACGCCGATGGAGGTCATCCTCGGCTTCCACTCGAGTAAGCCATCGTGTCTCCGTTCCATGGATCGCTGCTGACTCGCGCTCTTGCCAAGCTTGCGTCATGAACGTCATCAGCTACGAAAAGGCCTACTGCCTCTTCCCGCAGGCGACACTCGAACAGCGCCGCACGCTCCTGTCGTCCTCCTGCCGTGGCAAGGGCAAGCACCGTATGGACGGCCTCGCCAAGTACCAGTTGCGCGGCTTCCAAGTTCTGTATGACCTGCCTCACCACGAAGTGCTGCCTGACCCCGCCACGCCGCTCTTACCTTCGTTCCGCCGCGACCGCATATCCAGGGCTGAGTCCTATCTCTACCCTTCGCAGCCGTCCGCCTTTGACCTCACACGCGCGGCAACCTCCAGTGTCCAGACGCGTACGAAGCCAGCGTTTCGTCTCGGATGGCGCTGGATTGACGACTCTTCGTCATGGGTCATCCCGCTCCCTCTCGCGGGCGTAACCCCGCCCCCAGCAGCGAATCCCGCCACCCCAGCGCTCACGCACGACCCTGTGTCGGTGTGCAACTGGGAGGTGCGCTACCACCCCGGCCGCGGCCTCGTGATGCACTTCGAGGTCGCAACGGGCAAGATCCTGCGCTACCGCTACCTGGTCACGGACGAGCAGCTGCTGGCCCACCTCGCGAAGAGCTCAGTGCGCGGGTGCGGATCGAGGAGCAAAAGGCGCGCTTGGAGCTGGAGGAGTGGACATAGTGAGGCTTCCGTCTTCTCGTAGCTCTTCGTGCCATGATGCTAACACTGTCTCTTCCAGCTACGATGAGGAGCTCCCCGCCCTCTGTCGCGACTTCCTCCATGGTCTCGCGACGCGCCGCCTTTCGTCCTTGAGGATCTAAAGCAGTGCACGTCCAACTTGATGTGCGACATCGAAGGTGCCGGTCACCGCAACCGTTTTCTCTGCAGAACGTTCGCGCTATCTGGACCGTTGTTCACGTTGCATGTGCTATGCCTGATCGACCGATCGCCTTGTACTCTCCAGGTACCAATGTACTCACTTGACCACGACCCTCAAGTGCTGCTGCTGATCGATTGCTTCCGAGCACCGCTTGTGGTTTCAACGCCCACGCCGGTTTTAGATCTTCAAATTGGTCTCAGCGCTGCGGCGCGAGTAGTCATCATTTGCATATACTAGTACTTCCGGTCGATGGTCTCTGCTGTCCAGGAGTAGTCCCTGGGCCATCCTGTTCATGTCCTGGGTCTGGCTTTGCAGCTGAACTTCGGCTGCTCAAACTTGAACAGAGCGCAGGTCAAAGGTCAACGTTCAACCCGGGGGAAGAATGGTACACATTTAACAGACGAAAGATCCTCCGACCATCGCTCCCTGCGCGCGCCTGAGTTACCATAATGATTAATCAGTGTCCGAATGGGGAAGCCTAGACGCCCACTGGAAGCCGTCGCCGTCAATCTCCCTCCATCGGCAGTAGATGATAACGCATCCGGTGAAGATCGTGGCGCCATCCTCCTGTCTTCTGACTTCCTCCCACTCATCCGCTTATCATAGCCGTCAGTCAGCGGGCGCAGCTCGGCGAGGTTGAGAAGCTTTCTGACAGAGACCAGAGCCAAGAACGCGGCGAACGCCATCCAGTTCGTCGAGATGCGAACAGCGCTCGAGTAAGTATGGCCCGGTCCCTTATCCAATCTGCTCGGTCAGCCGCTGATCCTTACCGATCAGGCTAGCAACGCCACGAAGGAACACTGCTCGCACAGACGTTGTACTCAGGTACTCAGGGGTATATATACGAGTCTCCACATCGACTGTGGTCCAGCAATTTACTCTCCTCTCTCTCCTCTCCTCTCCACATCCCACATCCACTCCCAGTTCAACTGTCTACCCCACGCAACATGTCAGCCAAGACGACCATCTTCCTCACCGGTGCCACTGGTACGATCGAATATCCCACGTATCTCGTTCTGCACTGACAGTTCTGCACTTCTATCAGGCTACCTCGGCGGTACCGTTCTCGCACGCCTCTTGAACCACCCCGACAGGAAGAACTTCGACATCACGGTCCTCGTCCGCAACGAGGCCAAGGCGAAGATCCTATCTGAGAAGTTCGGTCTCAAGACCGTCATCGGCACTCACCAGGACCTCGACAAGGTCGAAAGCCAGGCTGAAGCTGCGCACATCGTCTTCAACATTGTCGGTATATCTTCACTCTCACGGAGTGTTCTCACTGACGACGTCGGAATACAGTCGGACGCAGACGATGCCAACTTCACCGGCGCGATCCTGAAGGGCTTGAAGAGCAGGCACACCAAGACCGGGGACGTCCCCATTCTCATTCACACCGTACGCCGTCTTCATCTTTCTTGCCTCTCCTAACAGTACTGATGCACGCATTCGAGCTACAGACTGGGTCTGCCATCGTTATGGACGACGCTAGGGGTGCGTACGCTGCCGGCCCAGAGACCATCTTCGACGACCTCGACGTCGAGAAGGCCAAGGCCATCCCGCCCACCGCCTTCCACCACAACGTCGACCTCCTCATCCTCGACGCCGACACGCAGGGCTACGTGCGCGGGTACCTCGTGAACCCCTCCACCATCTACGGCGCCCCGACGCACGCGCTCGTCGCCGCCGGCATCACGAACACGCACTCGATCCAGATCCCCGTGCTCATCCAGGCCTCGCTGGCGCGCAAGCAGGCGGGTATGGTCGGCGCGGGCAAGGCGATCTGGCCGAACATCCACGTCGACGACAGTGAGTCGCACCGCTACCGCATACACACTTGAAGTGCGCATCGCTCACAATGCGTATCTGCTCTGCAGCGGCCGAGCTGTACATCACGCTCTTCGATGCCATCCGCAAGAACCCCGACGGTCCCGGGCACGGCTGGAACGGTTACTACAACGGGGAGAACGGCGAGTACACCTGGTACCAGCTCGGCAAGGCCGTCGGCCAGGCCCTTGTCGAGCTCGGCATCGCCTCCGACCCCGAGCCGACCACGTTCACCCAGGAGGAGCTCCTCAAGTTCTTCCCCAGCCTGGACTTCGCGTACGTCTGGGGCTCGAACTGTCGCATCAAGGCAAGCCGTGCGCGTGCGCTCGGCTGGAAGCCGAAGTACACCACTGAGGACATGTTGAAGAGCATCAAGCCGGAGATCGAGACCTTCTTGCGGAAGTAGAGGTCGGAACCGTCCTAACGGTGTATATATCATAGAGGTGAGTTGATTCACCATGCATATGAGATCAAGCTCTCAAAGACTGACAGATGGTGAGGTAGATCTTTTGTCGACATGGTCGTGTTCTGGTTGCGCATGTATACTTGCATATCAATGGATTCGTTTTCTCTTGAACCACGCGCTCGTACATTGTCAACAATCGATAGCGACACGGGGAAGGCCCTTCGTGGACGCCCGCGCGAAGCGGCTTTGGCGAATGGGTGAGTCGGACGTCGAGGCGTCACTGGACCAACACGCAATATAAGAGCCAACCACGCGTGGGCCTGGTGGTCTAGTAGTATGATTCCTTCTTAGGGTTGTCCTGGGCTTTGCACCAAAGGATTACACAATATGGAGGAGGTCCCGGGTTCAATTCCCGGCCAGGCCCTTTCCGGTACACAGCGTACTGCTTTTTGCCACCGAACAATGCCCACTGACAGTGACTGTAATTTTAAAGTCATCTGCGTATCTCGCCGACTCTGTTCTGACCACACGTCGTGCGGCTTCATCCAAGTTACTTAATAACACCCAGATGCTCTAGAGTCACAATTGCAATCATGCTGACTATGGTACATCGTGTGGAGAATTACAGCGCTCTATTCGTACATGTCAATCCGATGGGCTCACTTCGTGCTGGTGGTCCAACGAAATACTTGTTCATGCGCGGCCCTCGGGCTTGCGGCCGCCCTTGTTGGCACCTTCAGGGCCTTCTCCGGGCGAGCTGACAGCCTCGTCGGTGCTATGCGAGGCACTAGTTCCGGGGTAATTGCCGTAGTGCAGCTTCTCGTCCTTCTCAGGACCGGAAGAGGGCTTGGTGTCGTAGGTATCGCGTGTAGAAGCCTGCAAGATGATACGAACAGTGGTGAGACGCGTCGTAAGCGAAGATCTCATCATGCGTACCGTCTCATACTCCTTGGTTTGCGCACCAGCACGAGACCACTGCCCGGTCAAGGGCTCGCTGGGACGTTGGACATCCGAGCCTGTGGCGGAGCTGTCGACTTGGTGAGTCTTCTGCGAGGAGGGAGCAGAGTCGTCGACATCCTTGAAGTAAGACTCGGCTGTATGCTTGCTCTCGAGGCGGCGCGCAGTCGTCGAGAAGGATCGCTGCTGCTGAGAGTTCGCAGACTTCTTGCTCATCTGAAGTGACATGAGCATCCCCTTTATGCGCATATATGCACGCATAGTCACGTACCTGATGTGACGGCAGCTTCGGATCCTCAGCTGCGTTGCCCTTGCCCTTGTCGGGCGAGTCTGGGGAGGACTTGTGCTTCAGGTGCGGGTTCTGCTCTGAGTGCGTCGCCTCCTTCGGCTGCCTGCTAGCATCGGGGGCCTGCCCGCGCGTCGGCTCGGAGAACCGAACCGCAGAGGTGTGGTACGGACGGCGGCCCTCCTCGGGCTTCTTCTCGAAAGGAAGCGCACCCGTACCGGTCACTCCAACCCCACCTCCCCTGTTCTGCTTCACCTCCTCGCTGCTCGTACCCATCCCGAGCTTGCTCTTGATGCTCGCGAAGAGCCCGGGCGGGGTGGCCTCCTCCTGTCCGCCCATCCCTTCACCAGAGGAGGGACGGCCCGCCTCGTCCTTGCTGCCTGAAGGGCTTGCAGAGCCGACTTGCTCAGCGAAGCCAACTCCCTCCTGGTTGCCCGAGAAGCCGGAACGGTCGGTCTTCATGTCGCGCTCGGGCGACGCAGCATCGTAGGCGGTGGAAGGATGGCTCTGACCCTGCGCGATGCCCTGGCCTCGCCTGGCGGTTTGGTCGTGCGGGTCACCGGGATGCTTGTTACCAGGCTTGCTGACGGTTCCCTGCGAGAGGCGAGGGTCCCTGCCAGGAGCTTGAGCGGCGACGACAGAGGACGCGTGGAGGAGACGCGAGGATGCGGGAAGAGCGCGAGTTACACGGAGAGTGTTTGCGAGCATGGTGAGAGATGGCGGGGCTGGAAGACGACGCGGAGGGTTATAAAGCGTCGGGAGGTCCACCTGCCTTCCCTTGGGGACGGACGTCACTGGGAGAGACCCGTGACGTCATGGCCGTATCTGCGCTCTGTCTCCAAAGCCGCGTTATGCGAGTCCACACACGAGCATCTCAACTTATTTCAAAAAGACAGAAGATGCGCGTCAGCATCAGAGTTTGCTCACCGCCAGATCAGAGTTGGGTCAGAGTCAGACGCGTCGCAGCGCCAGGCGGGAATTGCCTTTCCGAGACATCGTCTGCTTCCGGAAGTTGAGACGCCCATTCTGCCACCTCTCTCTTGACCGTCATCACATCCGCTGCCTCCGCCATCGCTTCCGCCCTTTTGGCGTCCAAGAAGATGGACTGGTATGCACTACTTTTGCAGAGATTAAAATAGCGGCGCTTGCGTAAAGACTCAGGTGATGCAATTGCTGAAAGCCTGGCCAGTATCAGCAGCTCCCGACTTGTCTTACAGTTCGTCGACGCTGCCCGTGGACTACACGCACCTAGAAAGCGTATGTGTGAGTCAAGTTTGTGCTAGTTCCAGGTGAGACCGCGCAGCCAACAACATGAATTTATAGACGTAACGGGGCGTCTCCTTTGACACCTCGGAGCAGCTAACCCAACACCGGTGTTTCCGGAGGGAACAGCCCTCGCCTCTGCGGAACCTTGCACATCTAGCGAGCTCCTGCTGGCATGGTCTCGATGCTCGTATAGTCCGCTGTTGCCGTCGTCCCTGCTGATCGTTTAGCTGCAACGAGACCTTTAGGCGCACTCTCAGGATGCTGCCGAGCGCGATGATTGGGAAATGGTTCCGCCTCGCTGGATAGGGGCGGTGGCCTGCCGTAATGAAACCGCCCCGTTCCCTTCGCACTCAAGTTGAGCCCGGTCATAAGTAGATCCACCGTTCGACAGCCAGGCGGATTATATCCCTTGACCTCCTCCTCTACCCGTGGCATACCTCGCTCATCACAATCCGGACGCCATGAGTCCACTATGGCAGATGTGGGTTTACTACCAGTTCATGCGGGAATCTCATGCTAACTGCACCACGCAGAATCAACGTCGACCGGCGCGAGGCAAACACCAATATATGGGGACAGCTCGGGGCGTGGTTCTTCTACCCGCATGACCAGCTCGTCAACTATCTATCCATCCCTTGTCTTCCACAGTACGTCCCTCAGTGCATCCTGCACCAGCCTCCGCTGACCCTTGGTCCATGCTCGCAGAGAAATAGACGTGTGGTTGGCAGAAGGCAAATTCAATCTCACCACCAGGGCCCATCTCCAAGCTTCCCCCAGAGCTCATCTACGTCATCTACGACTCGCTGCACGACTTTCGAGACATCATCTACTTCTCGATCACCTGCAAGCTTTTCCTCTCGATTGGAAACCCCACATCCTCCGCGCGACCAAGGCGTACTACGCCCCCTGGGCGGGCGGTCGCCTCATTGCGCTCGGCGACGACACGCCGTCCCTCGACGACCTACCCTCCGGACTTCTTACCGACGCAGAGCGCAAGGAGATCGAGATGACAGAACCCGCGCTCACGGACGGGCCAGACGAGCACGAGAAGAACCTGAGCTCCTTCGCGCGCGAGTCATTCGAGCGCGTCTTCCACATCGCGTGGCGCATGGTCCGCACGAACTTCGCGGTCCACCACCGCCACAGGATCTGCGACTGGCACATCCCGGACGAGCACGACCAGCACCCCGCCAGCCTGCGACGCTCGGATGTTCCGGACGCTGTACGGCGACGGACGGCGCGCGACGTACCCCGAGGGCACGCGTGTCTTGTGCAACCTCTCGAAGGGGAGTATGTCCGACAGGACGGCCTTACCTCTCCGAACTACGTGAACCTCGGGCACGCGCTCCTATCGCGGATATGCTGGTCTACCTCGACGGACGTCGGGATGGCCTGCGACGACGGATACAGGGCTCAGCTCACCAAGGGCCCTTGGGCGGGAGACAGGTTCTGCATCAGCACACTGGAGCTACTTCCAGAGCTGGAGAGGGGCAGGCTATGGACGGACGTGACATCCGAGGTGCATGCATTGCTGTCCCACGTTTGGAACAACAACGAACAGCTGTGGAGTGGGCACTGTGCGACATGGACCCGCTAAAGACTGATACTGATATACTAATTGTCTCACTCGTACACTCATACACTACTGACTTGCTGATATCCGGAGCCGTTCCCCGTCCTGTGCAGTGACTCCATGGCCAGACTGAGCGCGGGTGCACCCTATTTTCGCACCCTATTTTGCGGCATTCCGTAGGATGGCCTGCGACAGGCTTCAGGGCCGGGGTAAGTGTTTCGCCCAGGGATATGCCTCCGGGTGCGCCGGGTATGGCGAGATGTCGCTGAAGTTGACCGAAGTCGGCGTTCCGAAGAAGACTTTCTTCACGAATGGTTGAATGGCGGGACTGCAGAGTCGCGTGATGAGAGCGCAAGTCATGCTAAAGAGTAAACGGACCACGCACTAAGCGGATTCGCCGCAATGCAGATCGTCCGGAGGATGGCGGACGTGGACGCCGATGTTCTCGCCCACCCCGAGCCAGTCGAAGATGACCTTCGCAGCTTCGAAGACCACACCGAGGGAGCCTTCTGGGTTGGTCTGTGGATGTGGGGTGAAATCAAGAGCGCGAATGCATGCGGGAAAAGGCATACTCACCCACCAGTCCTCCTGCCCCTCGTCCCACAGTATGGCACGCTGAGGGCCGAAGTCCGTCAGAAGTATTGGAGCCAAGCGAGAAAATAGACCCACCGGAGCGACGAGCCCGACGAGCTCATGCGCATCGAACGGAACACGCGTCGAGTTGCCCGTAACATTGTCGAACTTCCACAGTTCCGTGTCGCTCCAGTACCCGTAATTCGTCGTGATGTTCTCGATCTTCTCCGCCGCGCCCTGGCTCTCGTAGTAGTACCGCCACGGGCCGATGCCCTCCGCTCCGCTCGACAGCGGGAGCGCGAGGGTTATCTGCAGACGGAGCTCAGTGCGCTCCCTCCCGTAAAGTGCTGTCACTGATGACGCTCACCCTTGGGTCGAAGATGGCTGCAGCAAGTGCGGTCTTCCCGTACCGCGAGCAGCCGACCACCCCAACGCGCGAGGTGTCGATCTCCGGTACGACCTGTTCGATCGCGTCCAATATGCGGTGCTCCGCCCAGGCCCAGGCCGTCATGACACCTGCATGCGACAGCGTCAGTACCGTGGACGTGAAGACCGCCAGGTGGCCCGGGAGTACCTACCAATGTCGCGGTCCCCGTAGAGATCCCAGAACGCCCCGATACGCGTGTAGGAGTCGTTCGCGACCGTGTTGACATCGAACTGAGCGACCGCCACGCCAGAGTCCAAGAACGAAGTCACGTTGGCGGGCACGAGGTCCTGCGGGCCAGTGGTGATGACCACCGGGACGCGTCCTCCCCTGCCGTCTGTGGCG